GCTGGCCATTGGAGAAATGCAAATTAAAACAACAGCAGCTCCATCTCACTCCAGCAAGAAGGGCTACAATCAATAAATCAACCAATAATAAATGCTGGCAAGGCTGGGGGCAGAAAGGAACGCTTCTCCATGTTGGAGTGTAGGACTAATGCAGCCACTATGGAAATCACTATGAAGATCTTTCAAAAAAATTTTAAATTAAATATAGAAACAGAAAAGTAAAATTGCATTGATTCTCTTAAAGTTAGCCAAGGATGCAAAGCTAATATACAGGCTGCTCCTGTATATTAGCAACTAGCTGTTAGAGAAAAGCACTCAGGTGAAACCCAGATTAAAAGCAAGTCATCCCTGTTACGTGGTAGAGCACACGGGTAGCACACAGACCTTGGATTTGATTCTCAGCACAGATGTCACGTGCGTATGTCCTATGCTCTTCAAATTGGGGGAAGGAAATCTATCTCTATGAACTTCTATCATGTCTTTGTGCAATCTAAATTTGCTTCTCTTTTTAAAATATAGAGTGTGTCATTTACGGTCATTGTGCTGGGTCACAGAACAGCAGAACTTAATCCGCACAAACAGGTACAATTTTACATGCCAGTTACAGAGGTCAAAGAAGTGGTATGTGCGGGGAATGTAACCCCTTAAAGTATTATTGCGTATTAAGGATGTTACCTGCGTTCATATTTTCTACCCTACAGGTTTAAAAACACAAGGGCAAACCTCACTGGTGGATAAAAACAAGAACTTGCACGTGTTTCACACGACTCACATTCGACTCTTGTGTGTCTGAGAGCTTGTAGTCATGCAGAGGACAGAATGTGATGAAGACACTTGAGGACTTGAGTGGAGCACGTGGATGATGACATGTCACCCAAGGACCACAGAAGGGGAGGGGTGTGAGCCAGGCCACTGCTCTCCAGCATCCATCCCCTCCCCCACCTTGCTCTGTGCTGCAGGCAGGGATCCTGCAAACACGTGAAGGAAGGGTCGGTGCTGAAAGGAGGACCTCCCAGTGTCTGCTCTCTGCTTGGTCCTTGCACTTGTACCCACCGGCCTTCCTTCCTGTGTATATATCACGGCACCATGCACACCTATTTCTCCTTGTGATGGGAGGTGTGATTGGAAAATATGGTGAATTACTATTACAGTAAAAGACACATGGCTGTGAGTCCCCTTCAAAACATTCCTCCTCATTCAGAGGTACTTATCCCATCATTTTTGCTACTTTCTGAAGCTGTTCTGAGGGTCCTCTTTCAGGAGGGTCTTTAGTTGTGCCTTGTGGCTGCCTCACTGTCTTGAACTCATTTAAAACATTTATCCTTCATAATCATTTTGACTTTGGGGTACAGCATGACACTGCATGGTATGAGGTCCGGGGCATGATGGATGAGGACACACTGTGATGTCATCACAAGCCTGTCTTCTCGGGGGATGGCACTGAGCAGCAGCATCCCATACTTCTGAGCATGACCTGTGGAGATGCTCAGGAAGGAGCACTTCCAGAATTGCTTTGGAATGTGGCGAGCGTAATGGGATCAGTGTATCTGAAGTGAGAGGGAGTTTTCAATGGGATTTAATGGCAATGTGTCTCTTACTGTAAAAATTGTTTTAATTTAAACACGCATCATATAGTTTGATCATACCGTGTACTTTCTGCTTCTCATTTATTAGTTGTGTTGGAGTACCCGAAGACCAGAACAACAGAAACACACAAGCTGAGCAGTTTTAATGCGTAAGTCTCCTAGTGGAGAGCTAAAGATCCCTAAGTACCTCAGAAGAGACTGGCACAGCACAGCATTTTGCATGCATAATAAGAGGCCCAAAATACCCTTGAAGTTACTGACTAGGGTATCAGAATCTGCCCTGGCTTGTTAGGACAGAAACTATCATCTAGACACCTGTGCTCTGACATTCCCTTGGTCCCCTGCCCACATGGCTCTGCAGTGCCTGTGTGGTCTTTAATGGTGTGCATCAGCAAGAGACAGGGAGGCTGGAGATTTAGCTCAGTGGCCTAAGCACCTGCCTGGTAAGCACAAGGTTGTGAGTTCGATCCCTGGTACAAAAAACAAAAACAAAAAAACAAGAGACAGGGAAATACTGAAAGGCAAAGCCATTCATGCTCAACCTAAGCCTCTGGACTACTGGGGTCCTATGGCCCCCCAGGGCTCAAAGCCCCCAGTCTCCACAGCTTCAGAGTCATAGTGGCTGCCTGCCCATCTCCACTGGAAACCGAACCCGTCCAAGTCAGGCAACGCCTGTGCAGGGCAGCCAGAGAGCCCGGCAGCACAGCAGGCTTCCGGATAACCTCCCCAGCACCAGCACATCCTTGGCTGAGTGCAGTGCAGTCATTTCAGCCCAAAGGACAAACATAATAGCATCTATGAAGAATTCGGTTACAGATGTAAAATAAACTACTATGAAAGGCCGTTATTTGTGTCCCTAACCATTCAAATGGCCTAATGCAAGAACAAAACAAAACAAAACACTCCCAAGTACACTCCTGGATAAGACTTATTAGAGATTTTCACCTGGTGAACTTCTCTGGGCCAACACCAGGTCTCTTTTGTTTTGATTTTATTTTACTGCAATAAGCAATGAGATATTTAATGGTGCTCTTCTGCAGCTCTACCTCAATTGATTTTGCCATCAGTGGGCCTCATTTTGTCACTAATGAAATCTTTACTGTTGGAACCAAATGAAATAATTTATAAAGGAAACAGTATGAGCCAGAAAAAGGCCTGTCTGGTCTGCAGCAGGGGAGATTTGACCTAAGCCAGCTCTGTAAATGACCCAAGTAGGTCACTGAAAACAAGCCATCTCTTTGTTCTGTATTTTTCAGTAGGCACAGGGTGGCTAATATGTTTTCCTCTGGGTTAGGGAACACGCAGACATTTGAACACAAGGCTTTTCTTGTGCTCCTGTTCAGTGTGTGGACATGTGATGGGCCGCGATGCTGTGTATCACACGTAACAGCTCTCAAGCCCGCAGCTGGGATCTTACTCAGGAGATTCCTCAGTTTCTGGAAAACCAAGGAGCAAATGAGCTCCCTTTATGTGTCTGAAGTCACACCAGGAAACCAATTTGAGTCTCCAGAGTTTGAGCAAGTCCCACTCATCCCCTCCCTACAAACAGAAATGCAACTCTATGGGAATATCCACTATGAATATTTAAATTAGTGACTCAAGATATCTTACTTAAAATTTGGGCAACTGCACGTCTCCCTCCCACCAGCAAATTGTAAACAGATTTTATTGACTGAATGATGTTAATGCCATCGTATGTTAATGGGCAACGCTAGGAAAATCACCGAAGTATTACAGCGCTGGAACCCTTAAGGATGAAATATAGTACAAGTTAGAACTCAACTGTTACGGACATATGTTGGCCAAGAAGGTTTCCAGCCCTTAGTGCCCATCTTTAGAGAACTCAGTTCTCATTTTGCCCTTGGTTCAGAAGATTTTGCAATTGCGCGCGGATTTATTAAGTCCCAAGATTAAAATTTTCTGTGTAAGAATAAAAAATAATTATACTTCAACACACAATGTAATTTTCAAATTACTTGCCTCAGCAAAAATCAGAGAGGAGCGAGGAAGAAGAACTTATAGGTGGGGTCAGGAGTGTTGGCCTAAAAGCTGATGTGAGAGTTTAAGGGCACAAACGCACGCTCTGGTGCTTTCATGTCATCATCATGCAGCTATGGGAGGCTTCCCTTTCACAGCAAAATGCCTGGATGACATCATTAAGGAGGAGGATGGTGCAATGTACAGGCAAGCAGAGAGTCCCAGCACCAAACATGAAAGTATGTCAAAAGAAAAAAATAAGAATATTTATCTCAGCACCATATACTAACAGTTGTTTAAAACAAAATAGAATAAAGTTAATAGGGATAAAAAATACAATCTGGGTTTTATTTAACATACACTTCAGTGCCACACATAGAGCTGCCTGATTTGACAACTGTTTCCCATGTCAGAAAATAAAAAGAAATCATTAAGGATTCAATGTATCAAATTTCAATTAATTATTCCAGCCAACTTAGAGATTCAGTAATGAGCCCCAGAAAGAAAAAACTGTTTTTAAAACACTTTGTTAATGTAAAACTTTAGGCCAAGTAATTCTATAGCATTCCTGAAATGCATTAGCAGTTCAAGAAAAAGTGTGTGGGATGTTGGAAGGTTAGGGACACATGAAAGGGAAGTCATGGCCGCTTTTTTCTTTATTAGGGAGTGGCCATGCATCTCCTCCAGCTTGTTTTGGTGTTCTGCCCAGTGTAATATCAGTTTTCTAAGAACCGTAAATTATTAGGTGACTCCCCTGAAAAAGTAGGAGTGGGGAGACACTGAGTTGATGAGGACTTCCTGATTACGAGCTGGGACCTTCAGGAAAACACTCATCTCTGGCACAACATCCAAACCAACCTCTGTGTGTGTGTGTGTGTGTGTGTGTGTGTGTGTGTGTGTGTGAGAATGCGGCTCGAGGGAGGACACACACTAAGGAGGAGGATGGTGCAACGTACAGGCAAGCAGAGTCCCAGCACCAGGGAAACCAGGAATACGCAAGATGACACAAAAATACAGTGTCAAAGCTTCTGAGTGTAACTAAGTTTCAAAGAAAAATAACAAAGCACCCCCTGCCCGACTCATCAGACACAGACTGTTAAGGGATGCTCTGACACAGCAAGGAGACAAAGGATGCAGCCACAAGTAAGCACCCCAGGGGTTCCTCATCTGAGGTCTGTCCTTCTGTCCTCAGCTGGCTGCTTTCATAGAGAGCCACCTGAGCATCTATAGAGGTTCTCGCAAGGGGCGAACTCTGAGATTTCTGCAGGAAGTGTTGTTTCCTGAAGTGTCATGTAGGTGTCAGATGTGACTGCCCTCAGGAAAGGTGCATGTCAATCAGCAAACCATGGTGGGCTTCCTGTGATAACATGGACATGCAACTCCTACTTAGCAACTGTGCCCAACACATGGATAAGATTGTGAAAAGAATATTCTTACCCGGATTATTTCTTCCACACAGCTGTTGCTTTCTGCAGATCTACTCTCCTGAAAACAAAGGAAAAAAAAAATTAAGCCTGCTGGAACAGAGTCATGGCCGCATAGAGAAGACAGACAAGCTTCCAAATAAGTGGGAAATCCAACTGTAGAGTTTTAGGCCAGGAGAAGGCCAAGGCCGGAGCTGACAGAGAGATCCCTCTCCTCAGGGCCAGCTTCCATTATGGCCACAATGTCTCCCCCTTCTGGAGCAACACACAGGCCTGCCCAGAAGCTTAGTCCACCAACCATACGACTAGGTAGGGCGGGCTCCCAGGATTCCAGAACCCAATGGGCTGGTCGGAGTTCCGTCCACTGTGGCCTTATGAAGCATGGAAACTGAGCTTACTGCAAACAGGGTTCAGTTTATCCCCAACTACATGTCCTGAGCCAGAAGTGCAATGGTTTAGGAAAAATCTGGTAGCTCCAAAGTCCTCACATCCTAGATGTGATAGCATATCAGGCTGGTGTCACCTTCAGAGCCACCTGCTCTCCAAGGACCCCTACTGCCCCCTGTGGTACAGATGCCCAGGGACATTGCAAAGTGGCAGCTGCAGGACATAGCAGACATCTCCCACAGAGACTGCGTGATTAGGGCTGGTGGCACAGCCTGGAGCACAGGACACAATTTGTGGGGACACAAAAGCAGGGAGCATCTGTGATGGAAGCACCTTCTGCAGTCTTGGTCTCCAGGTCCCATAATTCAAGTGTGCTGGCTACAAAATAGCATGACATCCTAGTTCTGCTATCATCTAAAAGGCCATCTGCACCTTTCCTGGTTTTCCAGATAACTCCAAGTCATCCCACAGCTCATAGTTCACTTGTGGCTTCCTCAGGGCAGCTGTCCCAGATCTGGGGGAAGGACCCACAGCACCATCTGCTCCCTTAACTCTGCCCTCCCCAGCTGCAATTCAGTGATGACCTCTCCGGTCCAGGCCACTCCCTCCAGGACACATGCCTCCATTGGCTCAGGGGCCATTCCCCGCGTGCTTCCCACAGTAGGGTGTGCCTTAGTGTTTGACAGCAGAGGGAGAGGGAAGAACAAATGAATTTCCTTCTCAGTGCTCTCAGGAGAGTGAAATCAGAGCTAGAAGTTTTAGAGAAGACAAAGGCCCTACCAAAGACCATGTCTTGCACTCTCCAACCCCTTTCCTGGGGGCAGAATGATCTTTCTACCTGGAATAAGTGGTTTGTCCAGGTCTCCGAACTGAGGGTCAGAAAGTTCACATGTACAATAGTGGAGCCTGCAATGCAGGACACCCATCCTCAGACATACACATTTTCTCTTCTAGAAGCATTCCCTGATCCCAAGGACTGCATCTGAAATACGTCCTCTCCCCTAGGAAACTTCAGCTTATTTGTCAAAGGGAAGCCAGAGAATCTATCATGAAGGCTATATGACAAAGACCAGTCCAGGCTCAGGGGTCCCCTGGAAAGACCTCATTCTCAACTCATCCTTTAAAACCTATCTCCAAATCCGCAATCATTCTTCTTACTCTGCACACAAGGCCCAAAGTGTTCCCACTGTGGAATGTGGCAGAGCAGATGCTAAACCCTCAATATACTTTCTATTTTCTACCTTTGAGTAATTAAAAGGAAAACTTGACCTCACATTTGTTGTCTTGGTGGAACTACGCAGATACAACAAGATGCTGAAGACTTCAAATTAGACTCCAGGTTGGATTCCATAAAGCCAAACTTCCTCTGAAAACCTGCTCTTCACCTGCTGTGGTTTTATATAAATGACAGGTTGCTTTTTTTTTAATACTTTTTTTTTTCCTTATGACACTCTCTGTGTAATCCTATAAATCTCCAATATCCTACTCTGATAAGGGAATATGCAGAGAGAAATGTAGGAAAGATGTACTGTTAAATACTTTTGCTGTCCCTGGTGACAATGGTTCCAGGATTATCACACTGGGTCATTTCAATAGCAGCTCTAACCACGAGTCTGGGTGGATGGGCACACAGGACCCTGTGCTACTGAGAAAGTGCCAAAGTGAGGCTTCCAACAGCAGTGTCATGAAGTCCTGGCCTCAAGTCATAGCCTGCACAGATTTTAGCAAGGAACACCTTGGACTTTTGGCAGCATTTTCCCCAAGGACTCAAAAGGGCCCCATATTGTTTTGGATCTCCAGGGCTCCATGTGGGTTGGAGTGGATCCACAGGGTACCACATAGCAGAAATTCTGAGTGGGAAGGTACCCTGGAGCTCACCTCAGGACAACATAATGACTTTAATATAAACTGTGGCCTGGAAAAATGAAGGAATTGTTCCAAAATCACTCAAACAGCAACGAATAGTCAAGGCAGAAGCCATACACATCTTTTCCCGTCCTGGTTCAAGGCATTTTCTAACGATCTCACAGTTTCCCTGGGCCTACTCCTTAGAATTGGCTCAAGCTTAGGGAACTTTTGTGCATACATGAAATGAAAGAATTCAGATAGTGTTTGGTAAATGTCCTCCCTCTTTTCATGATGCAAAATATCCAGTATTTTGTGTCTCACTCACTAACCTCCAAAATCACTTGTGTAGACGAAGGGGAGAGGAGATGGGAAAGGAAGCAGAGAGAAAGGTTCAAAATACTATCCCTCCTGTGGCATTAAAAAATAAGAGCGGAATGTTTGTGTCCTCAAAAATTAGAGAATGTAATCCCACCTCCTCGTTTTCCAAATCCACAAAAGGGCCAGAGGGGGAGGAAAGTCCTGGAGAAGAGAGACAGGAGGGGCTTGGCTTCCCCAAGGCCTTTTGCAAACCTGGTTTCAGCTAGTTGTGTACTCTGATTATATTTACATTTTGAAAACTTTCCATGTTTATGCACAAAATTAAAACGTGTGTGTAATTTACATCTCCAAATTTGTGTTTATCGTTTCCACAATAAAATTATTGCTTCCCCTGGAAAGGTACCCACTGAGAAAGAGGGCTGCACAATGTAAATTTTAATTACTCCGGATTTTTTTGAGGGCCTATAACTGCTGTTTCATGCTGAGTCTCTGAGCTGTTGCTCTGTATTTACTTTGACTTTGATGAATCCAGCTCATTTCCCTATCGTTACGTTTTGAAATGTGTCATAACAGTCTCCCCTCATTGAACCTCCAACTACACTTCAGTTAAAAACCAGCGTCCCAGCTGATTCTCCTTCCCTACAGCCCTTTGCCTGGCGCGTGTGCTCCCCCAAATCCAACCACTGAAACACACGCACTGCATGCTGCCAGGGAAATGTAGGGAACTAAGCCGTGGAAAGCAGAGCTCAGGAAATCACAGGAGCGCCCCGTTCCCGACTGCAGAAGCCCCTCATTACCATGCAGAGCACAGAGCGCCGGAAGGAGCAAGACTTAAGGGGAGCAGGCTTGGTCATATCACTGGGAAATGGCATTTTCATCGCAAGGATGAGCTGCACACGTTTGAAAATAGTTTAACTCCTCAGTGGACACGTTGCAGGTGGACCTTTCATTCCAAAATGCTATTCTTAAAAAAAAAAAAAATCACAAAATCTTCATTTGTCTGAAAGCACTCAAAAGACCCTGGGGCATTTAGAAGAGATTTCTCCCATGCACACCTCTAAATATTTCTACAGAACTATTTTTAAACATATTTTATTATTATTGTAAATTGGAGATGAAAAGGAATTAGGAGTGCTGTCCATGCCACAAAAGCAGCGTGTGGGACCTACACCTGAGTCCAGGAATTGTCATATTCTATGGGAGGCTCCGCCCCTGCCCTGCTGTCCTTACCAGTGAACAAGGAAGCAGCCAGCTGGTTGTCTTCCCAATTCAGCTTGTCTACACCCAACCTGACGGTTTCCTTGTGAGGCCTGCACTGGGCTCCCAGTCCCCCGCCGGAAACCCTGTGTCAGCACCAGCACTGCTCAGCCTTCTCTGTATGCATCGCTCAGCACACCCAGGGGGTCTGCTCTGCCATGGTGGTCCCACTATCACAGCCATCCTAATCATGCTCATCTCATTTCTACCCCAGAGAAAAATAAGCAAAGGCAACATCAGAAAGACAGAGGATGCGTAAAGGCAAATCATGAAAACACAAACAAAATGGTAGCAGATGGTGGAAATACAACATCCACTGAAGGACGGGTCCTGGGGAAAAGCACAGACAGCAAAATATAGGTGGAGGACAAAATAGTCAGAGCATGAAGACGCATCACAGTGAGTTATGTAAGGAAAAAAGGAAGAGAAATAAGGTTGGGATGGTTAGAAATCTTCAGTCTACCTCTGTTTTGCCTGATACACAAAGGGAACTACCAACCAACCAACAAACAAACAACAAACCAAAACCCAAAACAACACACACACAATGAAATAGAGAATTTGAACAAAAAATATTAAACAAAGCTTGATTAATAAACTTAGATGCTAAGAGGAAATTCCACCTTCTCACGAAGCATGAGATGGTTAGACAATGAAGTGGAAAGTGCTGAAATGATGTTTGCATCACTTAAATCTCAACAGCAGAAAAAGCTTCAGAGCTCCCAAAGAAAAGACTGTTTTACAGTCTGGACTCCTTACTCACAAATTCACCAAAACTATGAATGAAATAAATTGCAGTCACAAAGATCTTCTGGAAGTGTTGAAATAAAACAGAAATCACACGCAAATTATTCTTTATATGCACAGAAATTAATGTTAAAATGTAGCAACATAAAAGGATGAGATTCCCTGAAGGCTTTCTTAGAGACAAATTCATACTCTCCAAGATTTCATCATTTCTTTTACAAAGAAAATGTATGTGCTAAACAGTAAGTTAAAAGTTTATTATCCAAACAGAGGTACAAAGATGGCAATAGGGCAAAAATTCCAAACAAGGAAAAGCAAATAAAATATTTTGGAATATAGAATCAGGAGAACCTAACAAAGCCAAAATTTAGTTTCCTAAAAGAAAAAAATAAATAAACATGCTCACCTATAGCAGTAGATACGTTATATAAAAATCTATTGATAAAAGACTAAAACATTGAGATAAAGAGATAAAATAGCTTATATAGAAAGTATAACTAAAGA